TATATATATATATCAGTTTCAGTTTCATGCTAGTTTTTTTTAAATGCTTGAATGTTATTGTTTCGAAAATTGGCATCAAAAGAAAGAAGGAAGGAAAGAAAAGATATCCAACACTATTTGGCATTGCAAGTGAGTGGTCACCTAGGAAGAGTTTGTAATATTAGCAATTGAGTTGCAACATTAGGCAACTTAACAGAAAACTTTTCTGCTTAAGCACTTTGTTGAAAGGGTGCTGCTGCCTGATTTGTATTTTCTTGTTTAACAGACATTTAAGGCTTGTGTTTCAGGTTGTATTTCTTGTGAAAGGACCTATTTACTTGGTTTGCATAAGCTGTACAGAAGAGTCATATCAGTCATTGAGGGTACAACTAGAGCTCCTCTATGGTCAGGTAAGTCACTCTTTTTCTTTTCTCTTTTTTCCTGTTGTTGCTTTATTGTCAGAGTTTGCCTTGGCATGTTAATTGACTGCCAATTGTTCTGACAGATGTATGCAATTCCTCATATATCAATTGTTATATGAATGCAGATGATACTTATTCTTACGAAGTCTGTGAATAGATGTTTCGAGAAGAACTCTAAATTTGATATGACTCCTTTGCTTGGAGGAACGGACGTTGTCTTCTCTTCTCTAATCCATTCGTTCAGTTGGTTTGTGCTATGCTCTCACTCCCTCCTCCCTCCGTCTCCCTCTCTCTCTCTCAGCCTGTATACTAATCTTCATCATGATACCTTTTATTTTCTTTTTGATGAAGTAATTTGTTTCATTATTGGCATCAAGATGATGCGATAAGTACAAAATAAGATGCAAAATTCATGCTTATAAGTTATGGAAAAGATGGTCACAAGAATATATGTAACATATTTGTCGAAAAGGAAAAGCATATGAATGCTATATATTGCAGAAGTCCTGTTCCATCTCTACTGAGTTCCTGCTCAAGTTTAAGATGCAGTGTGGACATTCTAGTGGAAAAGAATTCTTGGGAAGCTTGTTGGTTGAATTTTCAGAATATGTTGTTCAGAAACACCTTGCTGATGATTTGATTGCAAACTATTTTACTTGGTTCTTAATATAAACTGTTCCTACCTATGCTAATGATATCATTACCTATACTAATATATTAAGTGTGCTTATTTGGATTCCAGGAACCCATCTAGTTTTCTCCATGCTTACACATGTCTTCCACTTGCTTATGCGACAAGGCAAGCTGCTGGTGCCATCTTGCAAGATGTAGCTGACTCAGGGGTCTTGTTTGCCATATTAATGTGTAAACACAAGGTCTTGTTTCTATTTCTTATTCTTCTTTCAAATTGCACATTTCGGAGGCACATAGGTCTCAGTTTACTGTATTGTTTAAAACATCCTGTTTAAAGTTGATTTGCAGGTTATCAGTCTTGTTGGTGCACAGAAAGCATCGCTTCACCCTGATGATATGCTATTGCTCTCCAACTTTGTTATGTCTTCTGAATCATTTAGGCAAGTTCTACTAACTTTTGATTCTTGCTTGGGCCATTTACTTGTGTACCTGGTGGAAATGTTTGGAGATGATTGATAAATTCATGTTACACGTGCATATGCAAGTTTTACTGAATTTGCTGATCTTTTTGAATGAATGATTGGGCAAGGTTGCTAAATGTGGTCAGTTATCGAGGCAGGTTTGGCTTTTGGGGGATACAGATGTTACTGTAAATGGCCATGCTAATTTTAGTATTTGTCCTTGGAGGATCCTGTCGTAGCGTTTTGCCGTTATGAAATTTACCATTATTAATATGTTTCTGTTTTTTCGTGTAATTAGGTCACTTATGCTAATTGTTACCTATGTTGCTCGGACTCTCCGAAAATTTTGCCGGGTGCGTGTCGGATCCTCCAAAAATAGTGTATTTTTGGAGGATCCGACACTGGTGCGGCATCATTTTGGAGAGTCTGCGCAACATAGATTGTTACATATCGTATTTTACTAGATCTCATTCACTTAGGTTTCCACGCGCTTTAATTAAGTTGTTTCCGCAACAAAGGATCACCTTACTTTTTCTTGAGGCTCCAATACATTTTATCTGGCAGTCGAATGATCTGGGGTTGGTGTGGGAATTTTCACTTTTCATTTTTTGGCTTGAGAAGAATTTAAATGGGGATCATGGTCAGTGAGGGTTCATATAGCCGACCCAACTTGTTTGGGACTGAGGCGCAATAGTAGTTGTTATGTGTACGAGTCCCCATTAATTTGGTGTAATGACTCTGTACTTATAGATTCTCTCTTGGACATTTGTCTCGTGTCCAGAGGCAGCTTGTAGCTTTGGCTTAGCTAGGATTTGTTTATCATGATATCATAATGACAGTGCATTCAAATTCGTTTCTTCTATTCTGTGTAGTTGATGTTCTCACTTCCTAATGCGTGCTCCTCATTCTTGCTTTGATTGTCTTTGACTTTTTTGTGCGCCCTTATTGACTGTGGACGGTTGGTCACATATTACGTAACAATATAATGTATATTGATGACTGAGTAATTATATATTTTAACTGAGCGATAGTGAAAAGGACCCTCTACCTCCAATATTGATTGGGGTTCCGATCACCAAGAAAGAAAACTGGGAAAGGACCATTGACGACTTTTGGGCAGAGAGAATGTGGGGGTGGGGTTTCTTCCATAGAAAAAATAAAAAATTAAAGAGCATATGTTACAGCCCACTTAAGGTCTGTATTCCATTTATACTATCTAATTTCCTGGAGGCTATACGATAACATGCTCATTGGTGTCATGCAGGACATCAGAATCCTTCTCACCGATTTGCTTACCAAGATACAACCCCATGGCATTTCTACATGCTTATGTGCAGTACCTTGATGTAAGTTGGGCAGGTGTAGAATTATTCTTTAATAGTTCCCTCCTCCCAAAATGTTGTTAACTTTCCTTCAAAGGTACTAATATTTATTACTTTTTGAATATGTACTACAGACATCAGATACATATTTAGAAAATTCAAATTTGTCAAAAGATATTATTTACTTTAATATTTGGCTGCTTTTCTTAAACAACTGTAAATCTCAACTCTCTTATTCCGTGTATGCAAAGTAAGACTGCCAGCTTAATATAGAGGAAGTATCTATTGATGAAAGATTTTAAGTTGAATCTCTTTTTGAATGGTAGTAGTAGGCTGCCTTACAAGAATTATAAGATTTTGGTGTTTCCAAAGTTTTCCATTTATGCTATTGCTATTCATAGCAAATTACCCAAATTCGGTGCTGTATATTACAGGTTGACACATATTTAATATTGCTTACTACAAGTTCAGATGCCTTTCATCATCTTAAAGATTGCAGGTAAATAGTGCCTTTTCTCTTCTTATTTTTCAAGTAAATTTGTTTCCAGTACTCAAAGCTGAGAATTTTGCTTATGTTTCCATTAGATCTGAACCATGGGAAATATTAGCCACTGCAATTTCCAGTGTATATCTATTCTTAAATTCTGTCAGGAGGCATTAGCTTGTTATAATCTATCTTGTAGGGTTCGTATTGAAAAGGTACTTCTGGAGTCCAATGTACTTGGTGAAGCTCAAAGATCCATGGTTGATGGTGGCATGCGTGTTGAGGATTTACCTACTGATCATGGTTCTCAGTCCGGAGCAGTCTCCCCTCATCTGGGTCAGCCTGGACATACTAGAGAGTCATCAGACAGATTTTCTGAAGCATTCATAGGTGTTGGTGGTCCTGCTGGACTTTGGCATTTTATGTATCGAAGTATTTATCTTGACCAGTATGTGTCGTCCGAGTTTTCCTCACCAGTAAATAATAGACAACAGCAGAAAAGGTATTACTGCAAAATCAACGCTGTCATAACAAACATTACTTGTCTTTTTTTCTTTTCTTTTAACTGTGAGATGATATCTTCTATTGCAGGTTGTATAGAGCTTACCAGAAGCTTTATGCATCCATGCATGATAAAGGAGTTGGACCTCACAAAACTCAGTTCAGAAGGGATGAAAATTATGGTACGTTCTTGGGTGTTATTTATATGCAAAGCTCTTCAAGCGCTAAAACCTTTCTATTTATAGATTTAGTCGATGGAGGTCCAAGTTGCATGGATAATCCGATCTACATATTGTGAATCTATTTTTCTTTCAAACTTAAAATAAGTCTACAGAACCTATCTATGACTCTTTCTGCTTGCATAGTACCATAGAGCAGGTTAATTTTTTATCTAAGCTTTGAGGTTGGGATGGAGAAGTTCTCCTTGGGTAGACACTGAGAGTTGTTGGGTAACAGATTTAAAAAAAGAAAACGGACGCATTCTCCTATATTTTTATTGTTCTTCATGGTTGCCGTTATTCCTTGTTATTCATGAGCAAGGAAAAAAAATCTTGTGAGTTGTAATTGCGAGAAATGTGTGATCCCTTGGAAGTTTGCAGGCAATGATTTCAAGTGGATTTTTTTAGTTAAGGATATACGTAGTAATCAATTGGTACCAAGCCTCTTTGCTTTCCAGTATTGACCTTTAATTCTTTGTCTTTTTTTAAGTAGTTACCGAATTCTGGTAGGGGAAATTAGAAACGTAGAACAGAACAACTCCCAAAATTTTCTCCCATGATAATAGTTTAGTTCCTCTTGAATTGACTTCCTTACCTTATCTTGCAGTTCTGCTGTGCTGGGTTACTCAGGATTTCGAACTTTATGCAGCATTTGATCCCCTGGCAGACAAGGTTTTATTATTTGCTTTTTCTTCTAAACCTGTTGTTTGTCCGAGTGTTATCTTGAATGTCACTTTTATTTATAGTCTTTCCACCAATCATTTTTATGGTGTTATATGAGCTATAGGCGACTCCATTTTATCTTTGGATGAGGAATTCATGGGCCAGTTTAGGTATTGAAACTGTGCCGATTCAAACATGCAGGAGATTTAACAGACCTTAGTTCACTTTTGTTCTGTACTCTGGTAAGTTGGTTACCACTTGCAGCACCACATGAGATTTGTGCATGGCCCCCTACTGTTTTGTTACCATATACAACAGGAAGATAACAAGTTTAATTCAATATACCACAAGGCTTTTAGCCCTAACGACTGAAATCAAAATGTCACTTTGACATGATTATTTGCTGAATTGAAGAATCTACCCCAATGTGTACCTTAACCCCAAGATGATCTTATCCTGCCACCCCTAGATATATGTTGACTTGCTTCTTAGGCATCATGGTCAAAGAGCTATTATTCGAGATATTATTTAGTAACTGGCATCTGTCTTATCTACAGTTTTTTGTGAACTGAAATGCTGATAAATACGTCAAAGCTGATTTTGTCTTTCCGGATTTCAATGTGTCTTGTTAGTTTAAGCTTCAATTTTCTTGTGCCAATTCTTTTGGAATGTAAGAACTGTTCTCTTTACATGTGTTCTTTCTGCTTTTTGACGTTTGGTAAGATTCCACCTTGCAGGCTCTAGCTATAAAAACTTGCAATCGAGTGTGTCAGTGGATCAAGAACATAGAAAATGAGATTTTCTTGTTAGGAGCGAGTCCTTTCTCATGGTGATGTTCCCCATGTTCGCTTCTTTACGTGTATTCTATTTTTTTTAAAACTTTTCTTTTCTCAAATTCCTTTAATAAGGTATGGCATCATTTTTGTAGGCCTTCCATTTTTGTGGTTCTATATTTATATCTTACTTGGTAATGAATGCCAATTGTAGTTTAATGTTTGGCAGTCAAGATATGAGTTGTCTCACTCTAGGCGTCATTTCATTTTAGCTTGTACGATTTATGAATTTTTGTAGCGCTATCTGTATCATCAATTCGTTGTAATTCTACATAATCATCTGATGGATTGCTAAAGACAATTTCCCTCGCTGTGATGTTATATTGAGGCTAAAGCACAACGGAATATGGTTGCAACCATTTATTCCTTCCGCGTGAGGGCTAGGGCATTTAGTCCGGAACTTGACACTAACTCATAAACATCAACAAAATATCCAATGATTTGGAAATAATTGAAAATTGGATATTCAATGTAGAATTATCTTGTTCCCTATGCAAGATAAGTTGCACAATATACTGTATTACACGAAACCTCTGAGATGGGCTATTTTATTTTCCCTATTATGTCTGAATATAGAGTGAACCATGCTGCAGCCTCGCAACTATTCTTGCTTTGCTGCTGGGATTCGCGCCGTCATCTGCGTCAAATGCAAATAAAGCTATTGTGAGGACTCCACAGAAATGTAAGGAACTAAACGATGAAAGTGCAATCCACTTATAAAGACCTAGTAGATCTATACTTCCATCCTACCAATCTTGTCTCAGCCTCACAAAACATAGTAAAAGAAAGGTCTATTGATTAAAAAATTGAATCTAGTCATCGTCTTGTAAACCATGATATGGATAACGGGTATTTCTCTCCCACTGTAAATACATATAGCACGAACTTCCGTATGTGCAATGAATACAAATATATCAAGGTCAACCTTAAAGATTGCTCCCTCTAATGTTCACAAATGTTAATAAAGATATGATAATGTAAAGAAAAATAATAATCTTAATGAAATTTGGCTGAAAAACATAAAGAAGAAAAATCAGAAATTGACGATGAACATACACAGAACAACTCCATATTAACAGTTATGACGACTTGAACCAAGTAGGCAGGAACTTCATACAGCAACTGCTTCAGGCCTTTTGCTTGTCTTGATTCCTTTAATAGCTGCAACATGTTTACACAATTTGTAAGTTCCAAGTTTATTAACTAATGAACATCAAGTTATGGGTCTCTCAGTAAAGCAAAATAAAGAGTCTTTATATCCTTGCCTTCAGCATAATCAGGAGCTCCAAAGACGGCAGAACCAGCTACCAAAGCATTGGCTCCAGCTTCAATGACCTGCAAGGAACCATGGTTAATGGTTGGTTGCTTTGATGCACAATGTTCTCTTTGTAATCATCACATACAATTCTCTATAATTTGAGAAGTAGGTTACTCTTCGTTACAATATAAAACACGTTTGCCAAAATAAATGGCAAGATATGGAGAAAGATAAGGCTGTGCTCCATGAAACTGATAGAATATCAGAACAATTTAGAAAAGATTCGAATTCACAAGGTACAAATCAAGTAGTAGCATTTGCACGCCACTTGAAATGCCGCAGGTAAGATTTATCCTGTCTTCACATCCTATGACTTATTCCAATATATAAGATGAAAAATAAATATTTTCAGATTTAATGAGGGTCAAGTGACAAGCTAGTTGGGAGAGGAGTTATAATCATGGGAGAGCATCAATCACCTTGTAAGCATTTTTGGGACCAACACCACCGTCAACTTCAATCCAAGGGTTTAGTCCCTGCAAAGTTAAAATAGGCATGTCATTGCATTGCGTAGTTTGCACTTTACAGAGACTGAAAAAAGGGTAAAAGAATTACCCTCTCTGCGCAGATTCTTCTCAAGTCTGAGATTTTCTTGACCTGACTTTCAATGAAGCTCTGTCCCCCAAATCCAGGGTTTACAGACATTATCAGCACCAGATCAACAGCTGTTGCACAAACAAAAATAAAGACATAAGCAATTTATCACTTTGGATCCAATGTTTAATGCCTTACCTGACCTAGCCTTCTAGAGGCAGCATACAGGTTATAGACTGGAAGATCATTGGTACAACACCCCCCACCCCCACCCCCACCCC